ATGTTGCACAAGATTGGTAAGACGTGATTCTCCACATGGGAATAGAATCTATCTATCATCTGGAGCCAATCATGTTATTGAGAGACAGAAAATGTAAAATTTCAATGGTTGACTGGTAGCTGAGCAGAGCCCTGCTTAAAAATGCTTCACCGGTTAGGAGGCTGGTCGTTACAGTATTATTGCCTGTGAGGCGACTGTAACGGCTACTACCGTTTGGCTCTAACTCCAATCAAACACAGGTTTTGGCGGCTACCTTGCTATCAAACTCCTCCAGGTCACGGGAGGACTTGGTGGCGGGACTGTGAAAGCCAATCGATTCGGTATCTCATGCGTATGTGAAACCGGCGGGTGGCTGTCGTAGGTTTCCCATGCTAGCGGTGATTACAGGTAGTGCGCAAGGGAACAACAGTCCTAGACCAATATAATCTCGTGTCACTGCTTGAGACTGGAGAGGGACAGAATTGAATTTTGATAGCTGGCAAGAACCTTGGGCGAAGGTGTCATCTGCTCTGCAAAGAAAAGACTTGTTCAGACTGGAGTTCGTCCACGTTTTCAAGATATTGGTTACCCGTGGCGCTAATGGGAAGCAGAAATGTCGAAATCGACTCGGAGGAGGAAGTATAGCCAAAAAAGAAAATGCAGAGTCGATACAACCTTAGCCGTTCGGCCACTCGAACACCAATTTCCAGAGCACTGCCAGCATAATGGCCGTGCAACGAAACATCGGACTGCGCCTGGGTGGGTAATCGAACCTTCTGCTTCGCTGATTGTCAATGCGATATCTCCACGTGCCAGCCTATGTACCATGGATGTCATTATAAATCCAAGTGTGATCGACGGTGTGGATGCCGCCAGTTGTCCTACGATTGCATTCCAGGATGTTGCTCATGCAAGGACTGCGGCAACAATGATAGTGACAACGTCACATCATTTCTCAAAGTGAAACCTTCAGGTTTGCCAGATGCTGGTTGGGGTCTGTTCGCCTGTGACAATATCCCATCCGGCAGCTTTCTAGGCGACTATTGCGGAAAGTTGGTCTTTGACACGGACTTTGAGTTCAAGAGCGACGATGGCCGGATGACCTTGGTGGCAGTGAGCAAATGTAGTGATCCGTTCAGAATCAGGGTGATTGATGTTAACGACGAGCAGTTCATTCTATTGACGGCAACAGCCCCGAAAATCTTCTAGTTTTCAGCAACCATGCGACGCATCCACACAATAACGCAAGCCTTAAGAACGTCCGACGAAGTACGTTAAAATGGTACGAGGCTATGCTGAAACATTCATTCAACGAGGAGAAGAAATCTTTCTGGACTATGGGTGAGCTTAACTTCTACATGTGCAAACTGGAATGTGTTAAATAAAGTTACAGAGCCGACTTCATTTTCAAGGCGTCATCAGAAAGTCCATCCCAGACAAAATGTAGGTTTGGTCAAAAGACAATTTTCAGATAACTTACTGGCACCAGATCATGATCTCCAAATCTCCATCAACATATTTGTCTTTATCAAGGGCGACGAGAAGAGGCCATGGATAGGATACATTACAGAGCTGAAACGGGACACACGGCGATCATTGTCAATTGGATGTCCCAGGTCAATGATCTTAAGCCGATCGATCCGTTCTCCGATCAGCGCTGTCACAATGAGATATTGATTACCTCTGAGAGAGATGAAATTGATTTGGACAGCATTGAAGACATAGCTGAGGTCACAGCGCACGGGGCACGTTGCCAGATATCCGAAGGATGGTGTTGTCGGAAGATTTATGATTGTTGTTCTCATCAATTCTTACCTGCCACATTGAACCAAGCTATAGCATCTTGCATTCAAACCCCAGGGAAGTGCTCATCTCTGTCTACCGGCAAGGGTATGCTCTCGGCACTCAGCATTCTAAATCGCATTTATAACGAGGAGTTGACCAGTAAAGATGAAAAGACGATCTTCCCAAAGGTCGAAAGATTTTCTGAATAATGTCAGCGAAGGTATGCTTTTAACACAGTATTGCTATACGTAGGAGAAAATGCCCTGTTCAGCTCGAATCCTATCTCGAGAAATTCGGAGACAACTGGGTATGGGTCTTCAATTGTCGAAGGAACCTTTTCGAAACTATCACTATTAATGTTTGCTAGGTTTCAGCGTGCTGAACTGTCCTTGGGTTATCTATGAGAGCCACGAGGCTCCTTTGAGAAGCCCTACCAGTACAACAATTCTCAATGACCGTCAGCAGCCAAATGGGTGAGGATCTAGACAGACGTAGATTTCTTCTGTCACCAGAAACAAATTGAAGCTGAGACCGCATCTCGAGATACTCCGTAGATATGCTGTGTTTGAAGTATTCAGTTAAAATTCTTGATCCTGGACAGGATATTGTATGAGGAGCCTTTCGATCGGTGAGCCTTTTGATGAGGCGATGCTCCTCGGATGGTTGGTTCTCAAGAATCGACAAGAGTTTAAAACAGGCAATTAGGCTTTCAATCGGTAATTTGGGAACATGTATTTGTAACACAAACCAATGGTTTTGCCTTCATTGACTGTGTGACCTCAAACCCTCGAGACTTCGTGTCATCTTCACCACGGTCACCATGCCTCGGATACCATGATTGGTCGGGGACACTGCTTGCCGGATCAATGTCACTCCTTTATCCTGTGAGACCGTTGGGCACAATATCGACTAAACTCCGACTCACGTAACACTGTCTGGTAGTTGTTACCAATCCTAAACGCCATGGTTGTTATCCCAAATGCAGTTCTTCCGTCAAGAGCACTTAACGAAAAGAAGGACCGCCGCATCTGGTCCCTGGTAGCTAGATACTATCAGCTTAAATCCTTCGAAACACCTCCAACAGCAGCCCTTTTACCCGGAATTTTTCTCGTATACCAAATATTCTGTGCAAAGAACCTTGCAAGACATCAGCCATGCGACATATGCACTCCTACAAACCTGTCGCTCGTGACTCTAATATCGGCAGGGATTATCTCTCTCCTCCTGACTCCAGCGACTTATTCTCGTCCTATACGAGTCCTCTGCCTCGGCGGGATTGCGGTGTATCTCAGCAATGCTCGAGCACCAGCTCCTCTTGCGATGGACCAAACAAGAATCATCCTTGGATTTTGAACAAGAGCTTGCGCCGTGGTGATCATGAAAAGTTTTTCGTCACTTATCATGATCACTGGGTCATAATCAAGTGTCAATATCAGAATTGCGAACATGGGTCCTTGGAAGCAAATCTCATGGTGCTTCACTGTCCAAACACTAAGAGTAGAGCAATATACGAAGCTCTGCAGCCTCACTTACACGAGATTGATTTCAGCGATACGGTTACCTTTCTCAAGTTGAAAACAAATAGAAGTACGCTGGAAGTTCGCGTCGCGAATTGCACAAACGAGAGATCTGATGATGATGGGAATAACTATCGCCTTGGACAATCCTCCAGAGTTTCGACACTGAGAGGCAGCTTGTACCTAGGAGACGAGAAAGAGAAGCAATACCGACAGTGGTTCGATGATCAGCCGATTGTTATTGTTCGGTGATTCTCATCCCGGTTTCCTACTCACTATCGTTGCCGTTGCCAACTGTCAACAATTGAAATAGATACTTCAAACAACAGAAGAGTTCTTCCAACATCTATAATACCTGATTCTGGCTTCCTCGGTTCTCTCCCACCTATCCGACACCTCGTAATTGTTTCGGTGCAATTATTCCCGGAGGACTTATCATTCTAGTCAGCGCCCTGAGGGGCGTCAGACGATATATGTTCGTTTTGTTGACGGGGAATCTGATCGATATACGCTGTTGGAAGGGGACAGACTTGGAGCTCGAGACAGGGAAGTGGGTTGTGAGTTGATATGAGCACTCACACTCTAGGTCCAGCAATTGACCGTGCGTACATCAGCATTCGCGAATATTCCGTGCGGTCAAACATTCAGCAAACTGTGCTCCTTCACGATCAGCCGCGAAGCCACCAATCTGGCAAACCTTGAACAAACATACTTCCCTTACACCAAGCTACAGGCGCCAGCTCCAGCCCTCTTCCGAACATTAGGAGACCTGTCGGTGATAGCTGAGGGCGATCAATATAAGCGAAGAAGCGATGTCTAACAAAGACCGTTTACGCCCAACACCTCTTTGATTGTGCGTAGCCTCGAGACCACTGTTTAAGCATTTCAAGATAAGGGTTACAGGAGGTTCTAGCATATGATTTACGGAAACCACTGTGACAGTCGGAGACCCTCACCGACTGCTTAGCACTAAAATCACGAACCTGACGTCACGTGCCATAACGACGTGGACGTAGTTATGGTCACGTGACCTGCGAAGTGTATCTGGATCAGGAACGTAATTGTTCCTCCCTCCATTGATAGACAGTTCTCGAGAGATCTTATGAAAACAAGGGAGTTAATGGTAAGGTTAACAGGTAATCAGATGTTGACCAGCAAATCAATGATTTTAGCATGCCAGACTATTGACACTCCCAGAAGGTGCTAAACAAAGCCCTTCCGGCGACAAGCGGCGAAATACGATGTCTTTGACTGAACGATTCGATAATTTGGCAGGCTAGGCTCTTACTAGGTTTATGATACAAGATCTGAAGAGAGGACGGCACAAAGCCAGTGCGAGATAATATTTTCTAAAGGTAGATACTGTATGCTGTGTGCCAGAGGGATGTCGGTCAAATCGCTCATGTCATTGATTTGGTTAAATTGAAGAGTTGCACTTCTGTTGCCCCTGACGACGAAATCTCTACGCCCATCTCATATATCGAAGCAGGCACTTGATACCACTCCTTAGAAGATGTAGGTACTAGCTCTCAGACATCGATCCTGTTGCTATTGGCCCTTATCACGCCAAACTCGAGAGATTGGCATTTCTTTTGAAGACTACACTAGATAAAGTTTGCAATCTCTCATCTATATTCGATAGTACTAATTGGAACTCCGGAACGAGGCTTTCATACCGTCATATTTAATAGTAGGATGGACGATCTTTGGCCCTTTGTTCTCTCTTCTTTGAATATGTTATTCTTTCCACGTCTTCTTTCTTCAATTTCTCTGCCTTGCCTCCATCCTGATGTAGAGTTACATCTCGCTTTATTGACGTAGACCCTGTGCGTCCGCTGTGCCCAGTGTGTGTGTGAGTTTCGATGGGCATTGTTCCCATATAATTAAGGAGGTGATAAAGGAATTCGTTTAACTAACAGCACGAATTAGTTTGGAAAGTTGAGACAGTTTCCTAGGTTCGATAATCAAATGGTATAAACTACCTTTCTGTTGGCTGAGACGATATGTGATATAACCAACTCGCCTGTATAGCCTGTGTGAAGACGAGAGAATATAAACTTTTCGAGTCGGCCACTGACCATTAAATGCAAGCTCTCCGTCTCGCCACCGTTTCAAGACATTTCAATGGTTTCTAGTCTGGACGTATGGCCACAGCTAGGGCGGTGCCAGCTAGGCAACCATCTACCTATGTTTATGCTTGTTCCTACCTATCAATGATCTTGAATTTCTCGAATGATGAAACAGGATAATTGTGTATTGAGCTAGGTAGTAGTGATGCGTAATTAGCTAATAACAAGGTGGTCGCTGTAGTCAACGTACAGGCAATAGTTTCGCTGCTTAATCCACTTAAGCATTACCATTCGTTAAAAGAGGGGATGACATTCTCTCAACGTAGGTGTGATGAGGATCAATCGATATACAAGCAATGACTCGGAGCCAGTCCTTAAGTGCACACTTGGTGACTGGGCGATTGTGTCAAGTTGTGGCTACTGCAAGCCTAGAGGGTGGGAGCTATCAATCTTTGATATCCAACCATTCCACAAGGTGCGACACTGACAGAGGTGCAAGGAAGTGTCAGAAGGAGATCGTTGGGTTGCACAAGCTCACCAGTGTCGAGACTTTTCCCGCCAATGCTTATTCATTAGATATCTCACCAGTTCGAACTCAGCGTTTAGTAGGTATTGTCGCTTCGATCGCGTTTCCTTTGCAATAGGGCCCCCTTCGTACGAGAGGTAGCTACTGAGGTCATGGTAATTATGATGCTCATAAGTATCTCATTTCCTTAGAGATGTAGAGCTTCTTCCATCGGATTAGGTTACCATCCGTGACATGTATGTCCTTCAAGTTCACCCTGTGTAGTCGGAAAAGACGCTGTGTTAGTCACAAGAGGAGAAGGGCCAGGCAACA